ATGTGGTCAAAAAGAGGAACTGATGGAAGATTTCTCTGACCATTCTACCTCGTAATAATCTCCTTTTTAGGAAGATAGGACTTTAAAAACTGGAAAGGTCAATTGAGGTTATCTAATTAAATCCCTCAATTTTATAGATGTAGAAATGAAGGCCTAGACAGGGGCTGTGTTCTTGTGCTAGCACAGTTAGTAACAAACAGAACTGAGATTTTTAACACAGTTCTGACTGAAAGTCAAGTTCATTGGCAAGGGATGTTGCACAAATCTTTCAGTTCTGCTTTAATTAAAAAGTCCTAAACATTACTTTTCATCAAGGCTAGAACAAACAATCAAGAAGCTTATAGAAAATATGAGCAAGCACTGGCCAAAATTCCCAGTTTATAAGGCAGCATACAAATTTTTTTAAAAAGTCTAAATAGATACAAAAAACTCAAGGACCAGGGAACATAATGGGGAAAAAAAGTGGTGATTATGGATTTTATTTTTTTAGTAATCTCATCTGCCATAGCACCAAGACCCTGGTTTTTATACTTACCTGTTCTCACTAAAAAAAATAAAAATTCTTATTTTTCTAAAATCAGAAACTCAATAACAGTAAAGAATTAGATGATATTTTAAAATTTTTTATTGGTTCTATAAATGACCCTTGATATAGAGGTATATTGGCTAATCACATATTCGTACGAGGCAAGCAGAAAAGTATTATACTTTGACAGATGCTAAAACCCTGCCAAAGCAAAATTTGTCCTCTACCCAAACTTTCACTTATATCAATATCATTTTCCATTTAAAAATTAATCTTACAAAGTCACTTCTAGAACAAGCTATAGTCAAAACTCACTGCAGTGTGGAGCTAGAGGGATCTATGTTGTAAGTTGTACTAAGAACTCTTGTTTTGTTTTGTTTTTGTGGGGGGGTGGGGAACCAGAGATTACTCTCTTATGATTCTGAAACTATTTCAGAATTACTGGAATCTGAGCTAAGAATAAATGCTCAAATCATTGGGGAGTGAAAGTATCATGGAATGAAAGAAATCATGCAATGAAAATATTACAAAATCAGCATCAGTTATTTTTTATTGCCTTTAGACTCTTAGGTCTGAACTGCACAAGAAACTGATATTTCATTGGACCAAAAATTGGAGACAAGCAGAACAAACATCCCCAAGCTGTAAAGAGTTAGCTGTTCAAGTGTAGGGTGAGAAGCTACAAAATAAGAGAGCGCATTGTACTGCACAAGTAAAAACAGACTTGGTATATCTCAAATCTGAATCAAATCTTTAACTACCAATGCCAGTTGTGTGACCTTGAGAAGGTTGCCTGCTTCTTCAACTCTCATTTTATTTAGTTACCTGAACTAACTACCACCATACAGTTGTAATGAGATGAGTATTTTGTTAGCATAAAGATGCTAAAAAATGAAAGGTATGATAAGGAAGGGGGGAAAGAGAAGGGGAAAGAAGAGAAGTGGAAAGGAAAGGGGAAAAGAAAAAGAGAAGGTGAAAGGGAAAATATGGGAAGAAGGGAAAGGGGGAAGAAAAGAGGAAGAGGAAGGGAGGGGGAAAAAAAACCTGAATGTTTTGTAATTGTAATGACCAATTACAATCACAAATGGAATGCCCTATAGAAGAGTTAAGAAAATGCAGCTCCATGAATATGATGTAAAAACACATGCAATCAATAAAGATCAATAAGTTAAAAGACGGGAAAATGGAAGCTGTTACTACTTAACATCTGTGTCAGGAGCTCAGGTAGCTAGAATTGAATTTCACTCTACTTTGGAATCCCCAGTTTCTTCCTAAATGCAATAAGGATACTTAATAGACTTAAGAACAATCAGTGAAGTGACACACCACAATTCCAGAAGGTAAATGATGAAGCATGCTAACAAACTCTTGAGAGAGACAGAGAGAGGCGACAGGCTCAAATGGCAGAATGAGATACACATTTTTGTACATTACCAATAGAGAAATTTGTCTGACTATTTGATACAAAAGTGAAATCACTGATCTTCAATAAATAGGGTCTGAAGCTGACAGGATCTTGGCCTTGTCAGAAACAAAACTGGCTTCTAGTAAGAGACTGTCCAAACAGATGGAGCCAGAAATGTTCAAGCAGTCCCTGAAAATACTGAAATCCACATTCAATGGCTTCAATAGATGGCATAGTCAGGAAGAGGTGCTTGGGGATCACCAAGGGTCTTAATGTCAGTAATCTACAATATGTAGTCAGGACCTACGAGGGCCAAATATGGGTATATATCCTATCCCACTATAAGGAAGACTGAAAATTTAGAAGAAACTATGAAGATAACTACTATCAAAAACAACTAAATTGGAAAGTTATTCCTTAATGATCATTTTAAAATTAAAAATGATAAGCAGGTTAAAAAAAAAACCTAGATAGCTTTCAAGAAAATTGCTCTAATCGCTTAAAACTAGAGATCAAAGTGAACAGAAAGAATCTATTATCAATTATCTCCCGAAAGAAATTGTGAATTAAAAGCACATAAAAATATCAGTCAAAATCCAATGCTTCCAGGTCAAAGAAAAAATAATGAAAACAATCAAAAAGAATTTAAGTATCAAAAAGCTAGAGTCAAGATCACACAAGCCTATGCTGCAACTATTATAAAGGAGAGGAAATCTTAGAATATAATATGCCAAAAGGCAAAAGAAAAAGACTAAAACCAAGAATAATACCTTGAAAAGCTGGTTATAATTACCCAGGGGGAAAAATATACTTTTTAAACCATCAAAAGACTTTCAAAACTCCTGGGAAAAAATAGCAGTGCTGCAAACAACCTTAGAAACTCAGAACAGACATGAGAAACCCAGAAAGGCAACTAAGTACATTGGGAAAATTTTGAAAGAACAAATGATGATCAACTGTTGATAGCCAAATAGAGGAGAAGAGGTAAGTGTCCCTTCAGTATTGGGTCATAGTAAATGAAGATCAACTCAGGACCAGAAAACTAGTGTATTTCATGTCTGGTTTAAAGGAAATGAAAAAAAAAAAGAGATAGAACAAAGAATGAAGATGGAAAAATGAAGAAAAAGGGGAAGGAATTCCCTATTTCTTACCAGTAAGATATGTTAGAAGAATATGAAAATATGGAAGTGGGGTTTGGAAAAACAGGCATCTCAAGAATCTCATTCTTACCTGAACTTAGTAAAGGAAGGCAGCTTGTTCAAACACACACACACACACACACACACACACACACACACACACACAGAATTTCATGTCAGGAAGTAGGAAAAAAAGATTTAAGCAGCAGGGACTGAATTGGTGAGGGAAAAGAAACAAGAATAACAAAATATAACTACAAAGGGCAGATTATAAAGCAGGGTCTAAAAAGTGAGGAAGTGTAAGAACCAATGTTTGGGGTCTAGATTTGGTGAAAGGGGTGGAAAATGAGTAAGATCATACCACTTTCATTAGAGATGACTACTATCAATCCCCTTCCTTTTCATTCCCCCACATTAATCTTCTCTGTAAAGAAAAGGGAAAGGAAAATAAAATAAAAAATATGATGGAGAAACATAATTAAAAATTAAACCATGAATATGGAGAGGATGAACTTGCCCATAAAATATAGGAGGATAGCAAAATGAATTACAAAGCAGATTCCAACAACCTCTAGCTTATAAAAAAAAAAACCTCATTTGAAACATTCACACAGCCCTCCATAGTCACACAGCCCTAAAATGAGTGCCTAGAAAAGAATTTATTATGCTGCACGATTCAAAAAAAAAAAATAGAGATAGAAAGCATGATCTCAGGCAAAATGAAACTAAAAAGAAATGTGCTTAAAAGAGATAAACAGGAAAACTATATTATGTCTAAAGGAAGCATTGGTAACAAAAAATATCAATGTTTAATATCTATGAACAAAAAAGCATAACACTTATGTACATAAAGGAAAAGCTACTAAAGATAGTGAAATAGATAACAAAATTATAATACTTAGGGACCTCAACATGCCCCTTCAGATCTAGATAAATCTAACAGAAGATAAATTGGAAAAAAAGATAAGAACCTGAGCAGAATTTTAGAAAAGTTAGATATTATAGATCTATGGTGATAACTAAATGGAATCAAAGAAATGCATGTTTCTCAGTTTTGCATGACACCTACATAAAAACTGACCATTTGCTAAAGGATAAAAAACTCATAAGCAGAAATAGAAATACATTCTTTACTCATCACAATACAATAAAAACATATTTAATAAAGTATGTCTGAAGAGAGCATTCAAATTTAGAGACTAAATAATACAATCCTCAAGAATAGGTTGATCAAATAATAAATCATAGAAACAGATCATTTTCAATAGTTACACATGAGACAATGTACCAAAATTTTTGGGATGCAGCCAAAACAGTCCTTGGAGGAAAATTTATTCTCTAAATACTTTCATCAACAAAAGAAAGAACAGATTGATGAATCTGGTGTGCAACTAAAAAGAAAACTTGAAAAGCAACCAATCAAAAATCCTCAACTAAACACAATAAAAATTCTGGAAATCAAAGAGACAAAATTGAAAAACAAAAATAAAATCACTGAGTTCATAAATAAAACTCAGAGACTTTTTTAAACTAATAGTAAACCATTAGCTAATCTGAAAAAGGAAAGAGAAAATCTAAGTTGACAAAATAAAAATTGAAAAAGGAGAATTTTTTAACAGATAAAACTACATAAAGGAAATTATTGGAACTTTTTGCCTAATTATAAGCCAACAAAATTGCTAACAAATGGAACAGATCACTTATGAAAGCAGAAAATATAAAGATTAACAGAACAAGAGAATTTAAATGACCTAATCTCAGAAAAATAAATTTAACAAGCCATGAACGAATTAAGAAAGGAAAAAAGGGGAGAGGCTGATATATTTATAGATTCTATCAAACATTCAAATAAATATTGATGACTCTATCACAAGGTTTGTTTTTTTGTTTTGTTTTGTTTTTGCCAAAATAGAGAAAGAAGACATCCTACCAAAGTCCTTCAGTGAGACAAGTATGGTCCTTATACCTAAACCAAGGAAAGATAAAGGAGAGAAAGAAAACTATAGGACAATATCTCTAATGTTGATAGATGTGAAATTATCAAATCAGACATTAGCAAAGAAGCTCCAGAAACACATCTAAAATATTATACAATATGATCAGATTGAATTAAAATTTAAATTGAACCAGGGTTGGCTCAATATTAGGAATATTATAAATATAACAGGCCATATTGTATAACAATGAAAGGTTCTATCATTATAGCAATAGGTGCAGAATCCTTTTGAAAATATACAACCCCATTTTACTTTAAAATACTAAAAATAAAAGAAGAAAATGGGTAGAGCTTTCATTAAAATGTTAGCCAGTATCTAAAATCAAATATTATCTTTATCTGTAATGGGAAAAGACTAGAGAGAGGCCTTTCCAGTAAGATCAAAGGTAAAGCACAGATGTCTATTGCCTTCCCTATTATTTGACATATTTATTGCTATTGCAATAACATAAGATCAAGAATTTGAGAGAATAAGCACAGTCAATGAAAAAATAAAGTTATCATTATTTCGAGATGATACCATAATTTATTTAGAGAACCTTAGGGTCAATTAAAAACAATTAATTATAGAAATAAACAATATCAGTAAAATAACAGGCTATAAAATGAATCCATGAAAAGTATTAGCCCTTCTATATACTGCCAGTAAAACCCAGCAGGAAGAGATTTTTAAAAAGCAATTACATTCAAAATAACTAGAAAATATAGCCAATATTTGGGAGTCAATCTATTAAGACAATCTCAGGAATTATATTAATTCAGTTGCAAAACACTCTTAACAGAAATAAAGGAAGCCTTAAATACTTAAAGACATTAAGTGCTCATGGTTGAGCCATGACAATATCATAAAAATCATAATAATTAACTTAGCGATATATTGTCATATCAGTCAAACTTATACAGAGTTATTTTTGTAGAACAAGATAAAATTCTATAACAATATCCATCCAGTGGAATATAAGGTCAAGAACCTCAAGAGAAATAATGAGAAAAAGAAAAGTAGGAATAAAAGGAGTTGAGCAGTACCTGATATCAAATTGTACCAAAAAGCAATAACCATCAGAGTTATTGGTACCTACTGAAAAACTGAAAGCTAACCAGTGGAATAGACTGGACCAACAAGATCCAGAAATACTTAACCATAGCAGCAAAGTATTATATGAATCCAAGCATGTCAGCTACCAAAGAAAGGATTCCTGTGATAAAATTAAGCAAAATCTTTTTATTTTTTTAGTTGCTGGGAAAATTGGAAAGCAATCTGGCAGGATATAGGTCTATGCTAACATCTCACATCATAAACCACAATAAATTCCAAACAGATACATGGTCATTAAAGGCAATATTATAAAAAAATTATAGAAAAGAAGGTGATACCTTTCACAACTATGGGATAGAGGAAGAGTCTTGAACAATGACAAAGATGATCCTAAAAGACAAAATCAATAATTCTAATTACATAAATATAAAAGCTTTTAAAATGAATTTATTTAAAAGAGAAATAGTGGGGAAAAATCTTTGCAGCCCATTTCTCTGATAAAGATCTGATAGCTAAGATACACAGGAACAGACACAAATACATTAGAACAGAGACATTTCTCCATAGATAAATGGGCAGAGAATATAAATGGACTGTTTTCCACTAAAAATATAAGCTATCAGAAACCACAGAAAATATTCCAAATAACTAATAATATGATGAATTAAAATTAAAATTAAAATAACATTCTACCTACCAGATTTTCAAAGATAACTAAAAGGCAAATGATAAATAATTAGAGAAACTGTGGGAGAGAGACACACTAATGAATTTTTGGAGGCATTATGAATTGGTCTAACCAGTCTGAAAAGCAATTTGGAACTGTATCCCCAAAGTTATGAAACAGTGCATACCCTTCAACTGAATTAAACTACTACTAGAACCTAATATTAAGCATTCGTGACAAACAGATCGTAGAAGGGATGATGATGATGACGATGATGATGATGATGATGATAGCATTTATTTAGCATTTTAAGGTTTACAAAGCCTTGATCTTCACCACAACCCTGTCAGGTAGGTGCTATTATTACATTTACAGACGATGAAAATGAGGACAAGAGATACTGACTAATTTGCCCAAAGTCCCACTTTTGGCAAGTGTCTGTGACAGGATTCAAAAACTCAGATTGTCCTGATTCCAAGTTCAGCACTCAATCCACTACACCAGTGTAGTGTCAAACTAAAAAAGAAATGATCCCTAAAGCCACATGTTGAATTAGAAAACTACATATTAATGTTATGTTGGGCTATATTTTATGTATTTTGTTAAACATTTCACAATTACAATTTATTCTGGTTCCAGAAATAAAGTTTGACACCTCTGCAACATACCATTTAGCTGACTAAAATGTTTATAGCTGCTTTTTTAATTATAGAAAAGAACTAGAAACAAAGCAGATAACCTCCAGCTGAGGCAAGGCTGAACAGATTATGGTATATAATTTAATAAAATATCACTGTAGCATGATTAATGCCTAAATAGACAGATTCAGAGAAACCTGGGGATATTTGTTTGAACTGGTACAAAATCAAGTAAGCAGAATCAGGAGAACAATTAATGAAAAATGATAAGTGATGCAAAAGAAAACAACTTAAAAACACTTCAAAACTCTGATGAATGCAATGATGAATCATGACTTCAGAAGATGAATCATCCTCCCCACCATTTGGCAGAGATATAATGGACTACAGCTGAAGAGTAAGAAGTATGTTTTCAGAAAAAGTCAATGACTTTATCTTGGTTATACTTATTTATTAAAAGAGAGATCTTCAATTTTTGTGTAGACTGAAAGTTAAATGAATAGTGATACTGGGAGAAAGTGAAAAGGAAAGGAAGGGAGGGAAGAAGGAAGGAAGGAAGGAAGGAAGGAAGGAAGGAAGGAAGGAAGGAAGGAAGGAAGGAAGGAAGGAAGGAAGGAAGGAAGGAAGGAAAGAAAACATGCTTCCTTGACAGTACATGACTCAAAGTCTTCGACCAGCACAGGTCATACATAGCCTGTCTACCTATAAGGCAACTAATTTCCCCAAGTTCCTCACTCAAAGCTAGGTCTCCACACTAAAACACAATGTGAGTCACTACTAGGAGGTAGTCCACTATTGCTTCTACACAACCTCACCACATCCCAGGGTCAAAGAACATAACTTCTGCCACACTCATCCATTACCATGCCCTTCACCTACAATGGTCCCACCTCCCTCCCAGGGGCTGGAGCTTTGGTGGTTCTTAGCTGTGCTAGGATGCTAGCCAAACTCTCTGGGAGATGGGTTACTCTTTCCCTGACATGACTATGATGGCTCACAAGAAGGCCAACCATGGTACAATGAAGGTAAAAACCAGAGCACACACTAGAGTTGGCATCAGTAGGCACTCCCACATGCCGAATGAATTCCTTTCCAGTCTGACCATTCCCTGTTCCTAATGCCAGCCTCCCCTAGTAGCAACCTCCAGTCCACTGAGATTGATTGCCCATGGAACCAGAATGACTAATTACTGGTCTCTGTCGGTCACCCTCCTCTGCACATGCTCCAGTTTATCAATAGCCTTTCTAAGATGCTGAGCCTAGAACTGAAAGTAATTCTTGACCATCATCACCTTCATTCTAGACGTGACAACTATCTAAATTGGATCTAAGTTACATACCTTGTTTCTGTATCTTTTAATGGCATCACTATCCTCCCAGTCCTCTGAGCTCAAAATCTCAAGTTGTCTTTGACTCCCCTTTCTGTTTAATTAGGGGGTTGGATTGGATCGTTATGACCCCTTCTAGTTCTAAAATTCTATGATTCTTTCTGTAGCAAACCCCGTAAACATCCAATCAACTGCCAAGTATCATCAATCCAATTTTTTCAATGTGTCCTGCACCCATTACCTCCTCTCCAAATGTGCTACACCAGAATTCAGGTCCACATTACCCCTTACTAAGACTCCTACAATAATTCACTAACCAGTTTTCCCACTTCCCATTTCTCTCCATCCGTTGTGCTGCTAACAGATTAATATTCCTAATGTATAGAACTGATCATGCTACTTAACCTACCAAAATCCACTGGTCCCTATTAGAAACAGTAATACCTGCCCTACCCACCTCACAGGGCTGTTGTAAGAAAAGTATGTTAAATCTCCACAGACATGGAAGAGTTGTTATTCCATCATAAGTTTAGAGCAAGAGGGGACCATTAGAGGTCATCTAGTACAACTCCCTTATTTTGTCATTAGGGAAAGTAAGACCCAGGGAAGATTAAATGACCTGCCTAAAGTCACAAAAGCCCACAACTGAATTCGCCACTGAGCAACAGAGTTGGGATTTAAATCCAGGCCCTCTGAGTCATTTCAAATTCAAAACATTTTTTTTCTTCCATGCCAAACTACTCCTAAGCATTAGTGAATAAATCTAATGTCATTAGCCTGTCAGAGAAGTATCTCCATAATCTTGTGTCAGCTTCTCTTTCTAGTTCTCTATCATGCTATTCCTCAAATTATATTATGCTACATCTTTTTATGCACTTCTTGTTTTCATCCAGTCCATTCAGTTGTGTCTAATACTTCATGACCCCATGGACCATACTGTTCATGAGGTTTTCTTGGCAAAGATACTGGAGTGATTTGCCTTTTCCTTCACCAGTGGATTAAGGCAAACAGATGTTAAGTGATTTGCCCAGGTCACACTGCTAGTAAACATCTGAAGCCATATTTGAACTCAGGTCTTCCTGACTCCAGGCCCAGCACCCCATCCACTGTGCCACGTAGGACCTCCTTACTGTATCACATTTTGTAGTACAATGTTCACTACAAAAATATGTGTATACCTCATCTCTACTAAATGGTGAGAATAATAATTAAAAGAATTGTGTCCTATTTAACTCTATCTCCCTCATGGTTTGGCATAACACTATGCATATAATAGGTACTTGATTACTGTCCCATTAAATTCTGTCTCTGATAGGTTTACAAATAAGTAAATTTAGGAATCACCAATAATCTAAACAAGAGTCCTACATGTACCTCAATGAGAAAACAGGAATTATAAATCATCATTAATTAGGATTCCATTCAATTTACATATTACAAGTCAACAGGATTACATTTCACCCTCTTTTACATACAGCTCTATGTACAAGGGGAAGTATTTAAGCAAATTCAGAGGAAAAGTAAAATGACTAGGCAAATGTTTAAACTACTTAAGAGAACAGCACAAAAATAGTTTTAAAAGACCTGAGAATTAAATATCAATAATACCATCGAATTAGATACTCTAAAATCTGTACTAGGCAACATTTTTTAAGCATGGTAGTTATTGGAAAGGCTATGTGGTACAGTAAGAAAAAAAACATGTGTGTGTGAATTATGGCTCAGATCCTTACTAGCTGTGAGACCTTATACAAGTTACTTAACTATTCTGAATAGCAGCTTATTCAACTAGAAAAAGACATTTCTTGCATTATCTACTTCATAGGTTGATATAAGGGAATCACATGGATACATGAAATTCTATAGAAATGTGTTGTTGTTATATGTATTTTCCCCATAGCTCATTACTATGAATCCTCTCACCTGATTAGTTGTGATTTAACCATTGCATAGGTCCTGTATAGAAGCAGTGACCCTTGGTGGGAATGTTTAGTTCATAATATCATAATTCCAAATTTATCTCCTTTCACCGACTCTCTTCCTCCATTTCCAAATCACAACTGCAATGTAATGCTTGGAACCCTGCACTGAGGTGAGCAAGTGTAAATTCCCTGCCCATCAAGCCCATTTCTACTTTTCATAGAATAAAAGAAAACATTTCATCTCATAAATTACATAGTTACCAACAGCTGATTCATTCCTACATAGTTTAAATGTGGGAATTAGAGAGAATTAAAATTATCTAAAAATGTATTGACACAATATATATTCTGGGGGATAAGTCCATACATTTCTTTAGTAAGTGAGTCCCTGAATTAATTCTTTAAGTATCTCTGTCACCCTCTGCCAAGGCATTTTTACTTTTAAAAAGTTCAATCTTTTTCTCCCCCTACTCTGTAATGTTTGACCAGGACTTGGAAAATAAGTAAGAAAATAAGCTGGTAAGGTTAAAAAGTTGTCAGTGACTTAATATATTAATCTCCTTTACAGACAAACCAAAAACACTGTCTTGTTCTCTTAATTTATGACAAAACATTTAGAGTAAATTTTTGCAACACAAAAGGCAATGCAGAGGCACACAGCAGGAGTGAGCAGGCTGCATCGTATGGAGGGACTCTGAAGAGCAAGAGTGAACCATGAAGAGCTTTGAAGACTATGTCATGAGAGAAATGTATGAGAAGAAAAGAAAATGTGCCAATCACAACGCAAAGCAGAAAGCTTCATGATTCTAGGAGAAATCAAGGAAGAGCTCTAGCAA